CTAGCATAGTTTCTGGGAGGATCTGCTCCATGATCTTGCTGGGCATAGAGGTGAGACTGACTGGCCCGTAGTTCCCCACATCTTCTTTTCTTCCCTTCTTAAAACAGGAGTTCTGCTTCCCCTTTTCCAGTCAGTGGGAGCTTCACCGGATGGCCACAGTTTCTCAAATCTAATGGATAGTGGCTTTGCAACATCATTTGACGGTTTCCTCAGGACCCAGGGATGCATCTCATCAGGTCCCATGGACTTGTGCATCTTCAGGCTCCATACATGGTCTCGAGCCTGATCTACCCCTACAGAGGGCAGCTCTTCATTGTCCCAGCCCCTGTCTTTTTCCTTCTGTGACTTGGGCAGTTTGCTGGTGAAGACTGAGGCAAAATAGTCATTGAGTACCTCAGCCTTGTCTGTATCTCAGGTAATCAGGTCTCCTTGGTCAGATTTAATTCTTCGGGCGCTTTAGATTTCCTAACCTGATCCCTGGTTGCTCCAGCAGTGTCTCTGTACTTCTCCCAGGCTGCCTGTCCTTTATTTCACCCTCAATAGACTTTCTTTTTACAGCTAAGTCCAACTGGAACTCCTTGTTCATTCATGCAGGTCTCCTGGTGTTTTTGCCTTACTTCCTCTTTTTGGGGTGCTGCTGAGCTTGTAGGAGGTGTTCCTGAATATTAACCAGCTTTCTTGGGCTCTTCTTTCCTCCAAGCCTTTATCCCATAGTACTCTACCATGCAGATCCCTTAAGAGGCCAATGTCTGCTCTTCTGAAGTTCAGTGTAGAGAGCTTGCTGTGTTCCCTCCTCACTTGTATTCCACTCTTTCACGGTCACTGCAGCCAAGGTTCCTTTGGAGCTTCACATTCCCCACAAGCCCTTCCTTTTTGGTGAGAACCAGGTCCAGCATAACACCTCTCCTCAGTGGCTCCTCCATCACTTGGTTATCTGCTCCTTGCCCAGAGCCAGAAGAAATTCAGATGTTGGATTTGCTGTTCCATTAATGTCCAGCCCATACTTCTTTCCTGATGGAGAGGCAATGCACTTGATTTGAGGTAAAGCACAGACAACTCTCCCATTTAATATTCTGGTGGTTTATTAGTCCTATAAATGAACCCCTGGAAAGAGCAGGCATGGTTTGATTAGTGCAGTTAAGATTTTTACCACAAGGTGGCACCAGTAACTGCTGAAAGAGCAGGACTGCTTCTCTGTGTCTGCATCACTACTTCCCTCATAGCCTGATCTGCACCCAGCTCCTCCAAAGTGTGTGGAAGTTTCCAATCCAGGCTCAGCGGGCACTTGTTACGTCACTGAAATGCGACACTCCACTGAGATGCTCCAAAAGCTGAGCCCCAGCCATGAGGTCCCGCCCCCGGAAGTTGACCCTAATTATCCATTAACCCCCCCAGCGTCCTAAGACTCTCTTCTATTTTTCACAACATAAACTCCTGCAGCAGAGAGTATGCTCCTGCTACCCCAATGATTAAATAAAAACATCCCCCAACCCTTTTCCCGGAAGTGACTGAGAAGCTTTTCCTTCATCTGGCTGTAAACCATTTCCTCCTCAGGCAACCTGACATCCAGGCACTCCCTGCCCTAATTTAAAAAAAAAAGAAACAACAAACACAACTGTGGCCTCCAGGTGAAACAAGGTGTCTGGGACACTGCCCCTGGCTCTAATCTGCAGACATGCCTGGCTTTCCAGAAGTAGGCTGAGAAAGACAGCATCAAGCAGTCCTTCCCACTCTCAAATGGAAAGGAGGGGTGGATGCAACACATCTGAAGATTCTTCATATGCATGACTGAAACAGACATAGCTTAAACAGGGATGCATTCCATTTATGTCAGTTCCTCCCCTCTTCTCATCCCCAAATGATACACTCAGGTCTCAGCCTCCTTCATGCCCCCTCCAGTCCCTTCAGCAGAGACCCATGGGGCTATGGGTTTAAGGAGAACCACAGACAGGAAACCAAGGCTACAAATGGTGACCATAGAGAACAGAGCAACTTGGAGAGGGTGAGGAGGGCTGATACGGAATTTCTACATTTTTATTTTTGGGGAAACTTGTGGGAGTCACAAATTTGCAAACCACATCCCCAGCTATCTAGGACATAGGCTTATCAGAAATAAACCACATCCCCAGCTATCTAGGACATAGGCCTATCAAGATGAGAAACCTCCAGGCAGGAGACAACCCAGACATCACCTGGAGCCAAATGCCTCATCTGCCCTGTATTGGCAGATACTGGGCTCTATGGCTTAAAGGTGTGAGGGCAGCAACAGGATCTAAATGTGGAGTTGTCCCTGCCCACAGCAGGAGACATCCCAGGATGGTCCTGGTGACCAGAACAGGGACCAGGATGGGAAAGTCCCAGAGAAGTTTCAGAAGGGATTGCTGGGATCTCCACTCTTTCTTAGCATCTGGTTTGGCCCACCTACTGCATTCCCTGCTGCTTGCCATAGGACAAGAGGACTGCCCTGACTTGCCTACTCGTCTTTTCCTCCAGTGCTGCTGAACAGCAAGAGGTTGGAAGTCCCCAAGGGAAGTGGATGTTCAAGTATATTTTCACAGTCCACCAAGGACAGAAGCTGAGAAATGTTTCATGGAGTGTGAGACATAGACATGGTCAGAGATGCTCCAGCTGATGCTGTAGGTGTGGAGAGAGAGAGATGCTGTCTATCACACAAGTGAACTGTGCAACACCACAGTCTCTATCTGTTTATTCAGTGTCTCCTATTTACCACCTATGTACAGTTTTCCTCATACCTTTCACAGAACTCTTCCTCAGAAGCACTTCCACTTCTTTACTCCTCCCTGTCACCAGGCAGAGCTCCAGGCACAGGGTCTGAAAGTTCCTATGAGAAGGGAAAGGTGCTACCAGCAAGGCTTGGCATGGTGAAGGCCTCTGTCATTTGTTTTCTCAGTTCCTTTCACCTTTGCCACTCTACCAGCTGCTAATCCCTGTGTCCATTGGGTTAACCAACTACTCCATGCTGAGTTTTCCGCATTCAGAAGAGGCTGTGTGGATGTCCTGAGCAGAAACACCTGAGGACACTGTGGAGGATGTCAGTGGCCTGAATCTCTTGAGCCTGTGCACAGAGCAGTGGAGAGGTGTCACTGGTAGAGCAGGAGCAAATGAAATTGTGCTGTACAGCTGCTTTCAAAATCCTAGTGGTCTCACAGGCTGCATACCGGTGGCATCCTGCACATTCTTCTGGAGGACAAGCTCGGTCCCGCCAGAAAAGGAAACCCTCTTGGCAGGCTGATTCCCAGAGCAGAGGGGGCAATGACACAGGTGGTCTCAGTCCTTGAGTACTCCTTGAATTTGCCAGACAAAATGTGCTGCCAGAAGCTCTTCCCCTAGAGGCAGCACCAGGCTGAGACACTCAGGGCTCCACATCTAGGCCCCAGATCCCAGGGAGAATCTGTCTTTGGAGGAATTTGGGCTACTGCTGGTCATGAAGGAAGGTAGAGGGACAGGCCACCCTGGCCCAAATTCTCAGCACCTGTTCTCCTTCATGCCTCCTGCTTTGGCCCACACTCATTTCTTCCTTTCCATCCCACTGCATTGACAGTCCCTAGGCTCTTCACAGGCTGGAGAGAGCCCTGCACACACACACACACTGACCCCTCATACACCTTCCATCCCTGTCACAGCAGCATCCTGGAACACTTCCAATAGTCAAAGATGTGTGTGACCAGCTTGGTTGGAGTGGGCAAAGGCTTGGATCCTGAGCATCTCTTGTTGCTGCAGTTCTTCTGTGAAGAAAAGGATTGCGGGAAGCAGACAGGAAGGGGGGTACTTACCTGCTTTGTTTCCTGCCCCTCCTAGTCCCAGGATGAAAGATGTTTTAGGTAAGGATGGCGTGGGGCAGCTGAGACCCCTATCCTTCTCTTTCCTTTGTGATGTTCAGAACATTCCTGACTCTGCTGCAGACAGTAAAAGAAAGAAATTGCAGTGGGATACACAGTTTTCTTGCAGGAGAGCATTTGAAACTTGCAGGCACGGTTTTGGTCTTCAGGGAAGAGCTTCACTGCAAAGCCCAGGAGAACCCTCAGCAGGCAGAATGCCTGGGGCTGTTGTGGTGGTTTACATGGTCCTGCTTCTCACTGATGTTAAGTTCTGGGCTCACAGTGCAGCAAAAGAATGAGCCATGGCTGGCAGAGAGAGAGGAAAAATGCATGGGACACGTGTGTCCTTCATACCTCATTATTCTGACTCTCAAGGACTTCAGAAGAACCTCTCAGCATTCTTCTATTCTGCCCTGGTGAGGTCAAATTTTGAGTACCGCATCCAGTTCTGAGCTCCCCAGTTCGTAAAGGATAAGGGACTGCTGGAAAGAGTCCAGTGTGGGGCCACCAAGATGATTAGGGGAATGGAGCATCTGTCCTATGAGGAAAGCTGGATCTGCTCAGCCTAGAGAAGAGGAGACTGAGGGGGGGATCTCATAAATGCTTATAAATATCTAAAGGATGACAGGACAAGGGGCAATGGGCAGAAGCTGGAGCATAGGAGGTTCGAGTTAAACATAAGCAAAAACTTTACTGCGAGAGTAACAGACAAGTGGAACAGGCTGCCCAGAGAGGTTGTGGAGTCTCCTTCTCTGGAGACATTCAAAACCCGTCTGGATGTGTTCTGGTGTGATGTGCTCTAGGTGATCCTGCTCTGGTAAGGGGGTTTGACTAGATGATCTTCAGAGGTCTTTTCCAGCCCTGACAACTCTGTGACTCTTCCTTGGACACACTCAGACTCCCATGCCACCTCAACTTAGTTCTGTCCATGCAAATCCCTTGTCCCTTCTCTACCTTCCCCCCACATCTCAGTAGGGTTTATACTTTCCTGTGATTGTGTACATCATTACCCAGTGCTCCTCCACAGCCAATCCTTTCTCACATTTCATGTCTTGCCCAGCCCCAGTATGTCTCATGCTCACTTGGTGCTTCCTCTTATCTCCACTTATCTCTTGGCAGCTACAAAAGGCAGGTCCCAAAAAGGACAGAGGCTTTTCCCCCATGGTTCCCTGCTGTTTCTTTCTGGTCATGCTGGCCTGTACGAGTAAGTGAACCCAACTGGCTCCCAAGCACCTCCACCAATTCTACTGCTGTCCCAGCTGCATACCCTGTTGCTTGCAGTACTCCTTTCCCCAAGCCTCCTGTGCTGAGGATGGGCATTGAACGAGGTGGGCAGGAATCCTGGAATCTTCTGCAATGTCTATTTTTATCTTCTGTACACAGGCCTGGAATGGTTCCTTTTTTGGACACCAACTGCCCAGAAATATTCCTCGTCTATCAGAGAGAGACTGGAAATTCACCTGCAGATTTGAAGAGTTGTCCCATCCCTTCCACTGCTCTCCTGCCTGTTGTCTTCCTTCTCACCCTCTTCTCTATCAACCTACTTCATGTTTTCCTCCTCCTTAACATGCCTCCTTTTCTCTTTCAGCATTGGCTCTGGAACAGACCCCAGACAGAGTGGTACGACAAGGCCAAGATGTAAATCTGAGCTGTTCCAAGAAGAAATCCTCCAGCACAGTTCTGTACTGGTACAGGCTGCCCCTGGGGAAGGATTCCAGGCTGATCCTAGTGGCTTATGCAGTTGCAGGTGCTGATGCAAATATTGAGAAGGATTTCCAAAGCCATTTCAAGGCCACGAAGATACAAGGAGATGGGATGACCCTCACAGTACAGTATGTCTTTCTCAACGACTCTGGCATGTATTACTGTGCTGAGAGTGAAACACAGTGGCTGAACACAAACCTCCCTCTGCACAAAAGGGACCTGCTTTCCTCCTCCTCGGTGCTGCTCACGGCAGGACGATCCCTTTCCACTCATAGCTTTCTCTGCTTCCCTCTTTGTTTAACTCATTTACATTATATTCACTTCTGTCAAGCCTTCTTCCCTTCTCTTCCTTCCTTTCTCTCCCCAACCAGAAGGTGGGGTCTTTCTGTCTCTCTTCAATCTGCACTCCATAGACTTTCTCTCGTTTAACTCCAGTCAAACGTGGTGATCATTCTCACTGCCAAACAGAAAGGATCTTTCTGTGAGAAGCGCTTGGTGCACTCTTAGAAAAAGGCCAGGCAGGTGGCGCAGTAGCTGGTACCAGCCAGCGGGAGCTGCCCACATGCTCCTCCATTACTTGGCTGAGGTTATCCCGTGGCCAAGGGGATGTGTGCACCACAACACCGCATGTACAGTGGTATCTGTGTCAGGAGCACTGCCTTCCATCCCTTGATTCACATACAGTTCAGCTTTTCCAAAGATATTCTATACATTTCAGATTATGTTACCAAGCTGAGTGGCTAACAGAAGGTTTCCTGAGAGGGTAGAGCGCTGTCTTTGTCACAGAATACACCAGTGCCAGAATACACAGACCAGCCTGGGACACTCCAGCAGGTTCCCACACTGAAGTTTGTTATGTTAACATATGGGCTTCTCAAGCCCTAAGCACAGGACACAACAGAGGAAGCATGGCCTGTTTGAGAGCATGCACTCCTCAAATACCGTGTGTTCTGCAAGGCAATGGATTGCCCTGCCTCCTGCACACCCCAGGGAGCCCTGTAGGAATTGGAGACCTTTCCCATGGGCACATTTAGCTCAGCCTCCTCTCAGTACAGCTGGAGTACTGAGAGAGGGTGTGGAGATTCTTCCTGTTTTCTGCTTACTTTAGCCCACAGCCTTTGTTCATTTTCCCTTTTCTTTTGAGGAATCCAGGGTCATTCCTGAATCTCCTGTAGGCAGTTTATGGAAATGATGCAATGGGAGGAGCAGCACCCTTTTGCTAAAAGGACACAGGGGAACATCTTCACTGCAAAGTGCATGACAGCCTTGAGCAGCCTGATCACTTGCTAGCCACTGCCACGCCTTGGTGTGTCCACAGCACAACACAAACATGCAGAGGCTCTGTCAGCAAAGCACAGTGCATCAGTGTACACAAACTGCAACTCTGATTTCCTGCCTGCAGCAATTTCCCACAGCCTTGGATTGGTGAACCCCATGGATTGGATTGTGCCCCACATAGAGAAGAGACAAGGTTTTCTCTCTTTCTGGCCGTCCTTGTCCTGCTGCTCCTTTGCAGAATGCTACAAAAAAGTAGAGTATCAGCTCTTCTCTGTCATGGAGAAGGGAAGTTTGTAGCATATCCCACAGTGAATACCCTTCTGGGCAGTTTGGTGTTGGATGTGCAGGGACTGTGGACAAGGAGGCACACAATTGGTGCCACAGCTAACACTGAGCAAGGATACCTGGTGATGACCAGGGCTTGAATTAACTAAGAGTCTCAAAGAGTGTTTCGTGTGTATCACAAACTTGGCAGAATAAGGTATGGATAATTAGACCAAAGGAATGCACAAGGTGATAAATGATTTTGCTAAACATGTGGAACAGTGATTGGGTGACAGCCGTGGTGTATTCCAGGAATTAACTGTATAAAAGAGTGCCACTCTCAAGACACCTTTTAGGACTGGACCACCACCACTCCCCCCTTTGACTGTGAGACCAACAGGATACAGCTGGAGCTCTGGGTGTTGACTTCCCTTTAACTCTTTATTCCATTTCCTGAACTTTCTCTTTTGTAGTTTAGGGTTAGTTATCACACCTACTTTAAAATAAATTACAAATATAGAGTTATAATTCCTACCAGTTGATCTGGACCTACATAAAAGCCTCTCTGTGCACCCAATACTGTTTCATCTTTGCTTTGCCCTGGCTGGATCGCAAAGAGTCTCCATGGATCTGATTATTGGATCGTAACACCTGGGTAACATGACATGCAGCACTGGGATACACAGAGAAGACTCCACAATGCAGCTTGCACGCCAGTCAGTCTGTGAGTGCGCTGGTATCTAGAGAGGAGACAGCTGATGGGCACAGACACAAACAAGCATTCCTGAACTCTCTTTCTCTTCCCTTCATCTGGTGCCTCTTTGTGCATCCCTGTGTTGTGCATATGCTCAGAGGCCACGCAGCCCCATCATGCTCCTGTGCTAACACTTGTCTCCCACTCATGCAAGCACACACATGCTCACCCACAGACGGAAGTCAGTGGAGCACAGTATGTGCACCTCATGCCTGCATCACAGGCATGGAGCAGTTTGCCTGCAGCCGTGCAGGGCCCAGGGCCACCTCAGCCTCCCCACTGCTCCCCACTGGGTTGTGTCTGCTCCCATGAAGAATGAGCCAGGACTGAATCTTCTGCAAAGTGGACTTTCTTCTTCACCTATTGAAGACCATGACACATTATGGGGATAGTGACTGAGGACTGGGGCTGTTTCCAGGCTACTGCTCTCAGCATCCCTGTCTGTTGTGTTTGGGACTGCACTCTGCCTGATGACAGAAGTATTTCTTTCCCCCCCATTTTCATCATGTCATCTTTTCATCACGTTCTCTCCTCTGTCCTCCACCTCTTTCTTCCCCTTTCTCCTAACGTGCCAGACTAAGATATCAACCACCCTCCATTCATGGTGGTCGGGGAGGGAAAACTTGTGACTTCCAGCTGCTCCCAGATAAGAGCTCTGTCTCCTGGTGAAAACAGGCTAAAGGGAACGATGCCATGCTACAGCTCAGGGCGTTTTCTGAAAAAGGGCAGATGCTGAGAAGCAGCTCAGCAAGTGCTTCCAGAGCAAGGGAACACAAAGCTACTGTCTGATCTTGTCATCTTGTCATATATTGTACCTCTCTCGATGACTCAGTCACCTATCACCCAGGAACAGCTCTGTCCTTCTAACTCTTCCAGAAAACCTAAGAAGCCCAGCACGAGCAGTGCAAAAAATTACAGACAGCAGCCCCAGTGGCACTGGTGCATGAAGAGACCAAGGCCTAGCAAGGTTGGTTGTTTCATTCCCCAGGTAGAGCTCCCAGGGAGGTTCCACTAGGGAATGTTCTGTCATACGATTGGGAGTGGGAGTGGGGGTGATGGGGAGCACCTGTGTTGCTGTCTGCTGATTTTCCTACCGCAGGAGTATGCTGCCCGTGTGGTTCAGCACGCTTGCTCCGCTGTTTTAGGCAGCTTTGTAGCACCTGAAAACGCGCCGACAAACAGAAAAGATGTTCTGCTCCAGGCATGGCTGCATGTAACTGACTGAAAGACTCCTGAAGATGAGCCTGCAAAATGTTCCAAGACCCTGCTAGTTGAGAGACACTACAAAGAATAAATATTTTTTCCCAGAGTGACATTCCCTGTTTCTGTCCTCCACATCACAGCCTACAGAAGTACCCTAAGAAACATCTCACAGAGAAGGGGTGCCTGAGAGTCTTTATTTTTTGATAGTTTTTGTATGTCCAGTCTCAAAGGAGAAGAAAATGATGAGGCAAACTAGCAGGTCGCCTAGAACCAGAGTGTCTCAGTTGGCAGACATAGTTGTTCTGATCCAGGAGACGTAATTGCAGACCTTGGTGTAAACGCCGGGATAGCCCTTCTGCGCACACCCGATACCCCAGGAGACGATGCCCTGGAGCTGCCCGTTGCAGACCACTGGGCCGCCGGAATCCCCCTGTGCACATGAAGGAGACAGGTTTTCAGCAAATGGAGTCAGCGTGAGTGATGAGCCAGGGGTCCCAGAGACCTCTGACACTCGAGCAAGTGCTGTGGGGCTCTTTCTACACAGAAGTTCTACACAGGTAATTTCTGACTACCACACTATGCCTGATGCTACTGTACTTTACTTGCTCCAAGGGCACCACAGCTAAGGATGACTACGTGGCCTGTTTTTGACAGCTGCAGGCCTTGGCAGATGCTTAGGATAGGTGTGTCTGAAATATTTTTCTGCTAAATATTTCCACGGAGCTAGGCACGTGTAAAATGCTGAGCAATGGTCAGGTGTGTTTGTTTTCCAGACTGTCTGGGTCTTGGCATACTGGCTATTCCATTTTCAATGTGGCCAAAACTAATATTTGCATCCTAAGCTCTACAGTCTCCACCATTACTATTGACACTGGTGCAATGCTCCTCCGTTTTAAATAGCCTAAGGTGCAGGAGGTGGCATCGTCTGCTTGTGGAGAATTAGGGCAAGAGCTATTAGTTGTCTGAAAGAAAAGAGGACAATGAGTAACTGAGTGGGAAAGAAAAGCCTCTAATACCGTGGCCTCTCCTACTAGCAAAAGGCAGGGGAGAAATATATGGGAAAGAAGAGGTAGGTATTTTACCTGGCAGGAGTCTTTCCCTCCCTCCAGGAATCCTACACACATCATGTTGTTGGTAATTTGCCCAGGGTAGGCACTGCTGCATTGGCTTGCAGAGAGTACAGGAGCCTTCAGGCACTGCAAGGTGTCTGGATAGTTGTCTGTAAGAAAACAGAGAGAGATGGTTGATGACATCTCTGAGATAACTTCAGAGCCCAGAGAAGAAATTTCTTCGTGAAACAGTAATCACTGAACATCTTGTTTTAGCACTCATA